GATGAACCATAGCCAAAACTGCGAGCAATCTAGGATCATTATTATTATGAAGTCTATTCCTTCGCCTTTCGCGATAAAGTTTTAAAGGATTATTACGAGATCTCCTTTGTGTTCATAATTTGTTGAGCAGTAGGATGGCGGCGATTTGGGAATCGCTCCGCATAAGTACGGGCAGTAAGTTTGTAATTTCTACCACATTCACCAAAGGTTATAAGAATATCGACTACTTCTGTAGGCGTATAATTTGCCATTTTACTGACCAGAATTTTATCAGATTACAAATGTTAAAAAAAATACATAAACACTTGTGACTTTGGCACCAAATGGACAAAATTTTGGAGGGACTTAGAGGAACTCCATCAGAAAGTTGGAAAGTTTAATTTTCGATTTTGAAAGTAAGGTATGCTAATATCTAAAGAATCACAACAAGAAAATACATATGTAGCATAAAATTTTATTAAAAATCCCTACTTGACCTTGAAATGGTCATGAAAATATGGGTTCAAGGACATTGTCAGGGTCATGGTTTGGTCTCCCCTCGATATCCAACAATTTTTCTCACAAACACTATCCGGGAAAAATCAAGATTTTTTGGCTTTCTGCTTCGATTAGGAATTTGTTTGAAATGACATCTATGGTCAACTTTGACCCATAACATGAAAGTTCATCTGGACGTAAAATTTTGCGCTCTTTCAAAATCCGGGATCAAAAATATGGGTTTCTATTTGAAAATTGAAAGTAGACCTTCAAATAACCTTGACCATGAAGGTCAAGGTCATTGTCAAGGTCATAGTTCAATCAGCCCCTTCATATCCAACAATTTTTGTTTTAAACATTTTTTTATTTAATCGCGATGTTTCAAGTTATTTGGCTGTCTAAGTTAAAATGGGTCACCCTGTATATATGGGGCAGTTTTCTAGTAATGCAAGTATCACAAATGTATATATTTTTGATTCTCGTCACGTACCCTTCTACAAGCTACAAATCATGCAATACAGTTAGAAAAAATTGAAACATATGGTACATATAAACCTATATTAGTTTTTACATTGAAAATGATCCGATCGGTATCGAAACGTCTATACGAATATTAAACATAATAAAATTTTAATTGGCTCTAAGCCCTTCGTGAAATTAATTAACAAACTAATTACTATTTCATTTTGGACTTTTAGCCTAAGAAGAGGCAGACGACGAAGAAGCGAAGAATGTAAAATAACCATTTATAAAAATTATATGTATGTAATTTATACATATAATTCTTATAAATGGCTATAAAAAATTGATATAATAAACACATATTTATATGTGCCTTTGTTTACTTCGATAATTACCTATATTATTAGAATTGTGTATTTAAATTTAATATTTTCGAGAACTATATTTACATTACGCAAAATTGACTAACAGACGACTTATGGTCGTCATAAAGATAATTCTACTTTTTTATAATTTTACTTGCATTTTTAAAAATAATACTACTTGAGATTTTAAATTTAGCAAAGACAATACCACTTGGACATTACTTTTTCATTTGGTAGAATTATTTGGTAAAACTTAACTTGATATTTAGACTGAACCATATAGTCAGTTTTTTCATGGTACTAATGATACGTGTTATTACAATAAATAAATAATATATCTTTTTTTTAAATATATATAAATAGAGAAGACAGTTTCAATTATATTTAATAAATGATACGTACATCAAAATTAACTAGATCGTAAATATACTAAATAAACTAAACTTTTTTTAATTGCAACAGAATAAATTTTTATTTATAATCTTTACGTGTAATATATTTAAAGAATCATTAGAGTAACACCATTCCGATTTTTTGCCTGTTCCCAACGTATACGTGTAAGTGACCACGATTAATTTCTTCGCCCTCGTGAAATATAGCGCTTATTACCGACTATCGATAAGTTTTTTAGAAGTACCGTTTACAAAAGTGTATAAATTGAGCTGTATTACTAAAACGGTTAAAGTCAATTCGAATACGGTTTTCTTTTTCAGAACGGTACCCTTACATTCCTTACAATTGTCATTTATCGTTTCCCATTTCGAAAATTCGAAATCAATCAAAGTTTGCAGAGTAACACCTTTTTCCTTTTTAATGTCGGCTGTATAGATAATATAAGTAAATAACTCTTTTCCAGCGTAGTTACACTGTAATTACATTTGGCATTTAAACAAGATGTTACGTGCTTCAAATCGAGTTCTAATACATCATCGATTTAGAAATACGTCGACATTAGAGCTGTGAAAAATTCCCAAACATCTTGTTGTATTCGTTCTTCGAAGCGTTCTCCGACAGATCTTCTAATCGCTGAATGTTGTAACGGTTATGCTCAACGTACACGCAGATAGCATCAGTCAATGCGTTCGCTACTTTATTTTTCAGTATTTGTTGCTGATACGTTTTCTCCCAAACATAATTCTACACATCATCAATGATATGAGGTATGGACCATCGAATTATCGAGTGGAACAATCCGATCGCGAAATATTGTCAACCGTACAGGTCGAGGTGCATAATCAGAATTTCTTTCGAGTAGCGCATAGAAACCATCTATCATCGTTTCCGTCAACCATTCTTCGGAATGTAAAATGTTCTTCTCCATATTACCATAACAGAACTTGTGACACTGACGATCTATTTTCAGTTGGCATTTGAGTCCTCTTTTCAATATGGAATTATTACTTAACGTAGACCTGCGACAAATGTACATGTTTTCCCACTACATTTCCTGCAAACTTTGGAAGGTTTAATAGTCATCCACGTTAAAAAGTTATTAAAGATGAAATAAGGAATTCAACACTGATGACGCTGACCATAACATATATTGACAAGTTAATGACCCTTAGTGACCATTGAAGGGTTTCGTTAGTTGCTCGTTGCTTATTAAAGGGAGATTCACCTTTGCAGGCTTCAAAAAAGATCGAAATTTTTTTTTATTTTGATTCCTACATATGTGTAAAATATCCCTGTAAAAGGTTTTTTTTAAATTCGCAATATTAACGGAGTTATGAGCTCAAATACGTAATGGCGCACGGGGCTTTAAGCGCTTACCAGCGCAAATCATCACGTCAGAATCATCAAGAGAAACCAGAACAGCTCGGCCATTGGAGAAATTGATGGAAAACCAGTTATATGAAGACGAGGAAGGATTATTATTTGGCCCTGGTATTGCAGAATCGTAAGTGCATTAAAAAACTTGTTATATGTGGAAAAAGTCAAACCAAAACTTTAAATGCGTTTTTCTCAAAACTACATTTTTCGACCTGAAGGAACTAATAATCCAAAAATCAGGGTTGGATAAGTTAATGTTTTTCTTTAAACTAAATTAAATTAAAGTTATTGGCTTATAAAATTAATAAAATTAAGTTAAAAGATGAAGAAATAAAGAATTAACTTAATAAAAGTTGTTAAGATCGAATTAACTTTCCGGGAGGGGCGGTCGACCCGTCCGGGTGATGGTGTGCGTACGCGTACGCGATCTTGTCCGGGGCCCTGTACGAGGCCCCGATATGGCACGGGGAGGCCCGGGCCAACCGCCGGATTCGCAAGAATCTGCACAGCGTGCAAAGACGGCTGGCCCTACGAATAGCCTACAGGACCGTGGCGCGCGACGCCTTGGCGGTCCTCGTGGAGATCCCCCCGCTGAAGTATGTGGCCGATGCCCTGGCAGAATCCTATGGAGGTCCCAGGGAGGTGTCGTAATCCCCGGGGCCGCCAACCTCTTTAGAGAGGTGGCCCGTCGGCAGGTTTTCCACGAATGGCGTGACAGCCTGCGGAACAGCCCGCCGACCAAGGGGACCCGGACCACGGAAACCATCCTCCCCTGCCTTGACGAGTGGGCTGGCAGAGGTTGGGGCGGACTCTCGTTCCACCTGACGCAGGTTCTCACCGGCCACGAGTGCTTCGGTGAGTACCTGTGTCGTATCGGGAAGGAGCTGATGACGCAGTGCCACCATTGCGACGAGCCTCGGCACACCGCGCAGCACACGCTGGAAGTGTGTCCAGCGTGGGCAGAGGAGCGTGGTGCCTTGAGGCGTGTTATAGGGGAGGATTTCTCCCTGCCGGCGGTCGTCAAGGTTATGGTTGGCAGGGAGAAGGCGTGGATGGCCGTCTCCTCCTTCTGAAGCAGCGTCATGCGGAGGAAGGAGGAGACGGAGAGAGGGAGGGAGAGGGCG